TACTACACATTGCTAGGACAACAGAATCTCACACTACACAGTGCTGGGACTATACAACATTACACTATGAAGTCTGGCACTACATAGTCTGGTGCCACATAGTTTGGCAACAGTAGTGAAGGAGAAGGCAGGAAACATCCAATGTTTTGCTGAGGAGGAACTTCATCAGGAAGTTTTATAGCACTACTCTTCGGTTCAGGCAGTGACATCCACTCTCAAAGGGTTCAAAAACACCTATCAATATAATATGAAATACCCTTTCTCACATGTCAGGATTCTCAAACAATTGAATGACTTGATAACTAAATTTTAAAATGTGCCTGTCATTTCAGAGGAAAAGTATACTTGCAACACCTGAAAGATCAAACCCAGTCATAGAAGGTGACCTTGTCATGGCTGTCATTTTAAGAGTTAAGAAAACATTAAAATAAATAAGAAAAAAGCAGTGATCTAGTCATATTTCCAGATCAGTCCTCTGTGTTGTCATTTGTTTTATTTATTAAGAATGCATGTTTTATAAATCAGATCTATTATTAGTTTGGCAATGTCTGTACTAGAGATCATAAAGCCACATTCTGAAATGTGATTTGGTCTTCCAGAAAAAGCAAAGTTGTTTTGCCTTCCTTTAAAATCACAGGCACATGCTTACTTTCCCAAATCATTTGAAATTGCCATCCTGAATGCAAATCCTGACAGGTGAGTACATTAATGAAATATACTCTCTGTCACATTGCTAGTATGTGTCTGGTTATAGTGAGGTCATCTTCATCAAAGCTGTTAGTATCCACAATCTTAAAGTGCATAACTTTTTTTTATATATACAATTTATTTTAAAGAGCTTTAAAAAAGCAACACACTAATACATTCACGGGAATGTGCTTTTAATGTGTAATTGTCAAGGTATAACAGAATTGTAAGGCAAAGTAATTGAAATCTCATAGGTTAAAATGCAAGTGTAATATTAGCTTTGCCTTGTTTTAGAAATTGGTGTTTGTGTGAGCCATCACTGATGTAATCCTTGAATATTTAAAACAGTTGGACCAATGTAACAGGGAAAGTAGTGCCTGCACTTCACAATAAAAGGGTCATGTGAACTGAGCCAGGCTGTTTGTGATTATTGAGCTTGAATCATTACCACCTACACATTTACAGAACATCTGAAGCAAGCTCCACAGCTGAAAGTTTTCTTCTTTCTTTTTACTTTTAAGAATGGAATTAACCTTAATTTCTGTACAGTACATACAGTTGGAATCTATAGCAAGTTTTAGCAGCACATATTTCAATCAAGGGTCTGGCTTCGCAGTCTGAGACAAGACAACTGACCCAAGCCCTGAAATAGGGGCTGCAAAAATGTAATTACGGTGGGTAGTTGCGTCAGCATGCATAGGCTGCAAAGGAACAAGAAATAGATTTATTCCATGCTGAAGAAGGCTCCATGGCCGAAATGTTGTGTTTTCTTCTTTTTTTTCAGCATGGAATAAACCTATTACTTGTTAAAATGTAATTACTTCCTGTCTTCCCTCTGAAAAGTCAGATAGCTTCTGACAAACAAATGTATGTATTTGTTTCTTCTCTTTGTGGTGATGTTCCTTTAAATCACATCATTTCCATTACAATTTTAATTTATACATACAGTGAGGTTATTCTATGCATGTATATTTTGCTTCAAAATGTCCAGCTCCTCTACTTTCTACTTATTTTATCATCTGACAGTAATAGACAGGAGTGTCAGTTCTGTTTTTAAGTTTGCAGCATTGCTTTCAGTTTAAAAAAAGGTGTTGAATAAAATAATACAATAATCTGCTATTTGTATCATAACTGAACTCATTTCTAGCACTTACAATATGAATGTTTAATCTCTTATAAAATCCCACTATCCTTGGGTCATCCAAGTCATCCCTGTTTACATCTGTACAATCTGTCAGCAAAATCTGAAAACAAAACTGCCCTTGTAACTCCAGAGACCCCATCTTAAACAAGATCCATAGCACATATATTGTTAGTGCTTTGTGACTATAAGCAATATTGCACATAAAAATGGCAAATGGAATTAGGGTATCCAACTGCAATAATTCCTTGTACAGTCCGTTTAATTAGCCGGAAAACCTATTCACTCAAATGGAAACATGAACAATTGGTTTGCTGCCATCAGTCTAGTAATGGGGACTTCAATTGTCTAGAGACACATGTCAGAAACTGAATTACAGATTTAAAGTTGAATATAATCATGGTGTTCAAACACAGAGTCCTTAGGATGACAGACAGATTCAGAATATTTTTTTTCCTGCAATTGTATGTGCTTCATTGGGTGACTTTTTGTGAGAAAGGCTTTCTCTGATTAAGTACAAGAGAAGTTGAGTTGAGATGAAGACATGGATATACTGTAAAGGAACAAGTACAGGTTTATTAAAAGCTGAAAAGAGAAGAAAAGAAAAAGCACACCTGAAGAAGAGTCTTCTTCAGGTGTGCTGAATGCAAATGTTGAATTGAATGCATATGAAACCTGAAGAAGGCTCCTCAGCCAAAATGATGGGTTTCTTTTTGGTGATGTCGTACCTTAAAAGCAAGAACTCCACTCATTTTCCCTGGTTAACCTACTGGCTCCTCATCTCTTCAACTGAACTGGCAATCTGACTTTTTGAACCACATGACTGCAAGCAGTCCAAGTCAGGACTCCTTTTCTCAAAACTGCCAGGATGAGAAAATGAGTCAGTAAAGCACAAAATTCTAAGATATTCTTTCTGAAACTGAAACTGTTTGTGAGCCCACTGTTATTTTTGTCTGATTGATGAAATAAGACTGTCCAAAATATCCAAGCACATTCTAAACAAAGCCAGGGCACACAGAAGTCAGCAAAATGTTAACTTTGGCAGAGCTGCCTGAAACTAATGCAAGCTGATAAGTAAAGCCAGGCAAAACTGTTCTTCTCTCTCCTCTCTCTGCACTGGGACTCTCTCAGCACAGAATAGCTGCAAGTCGGGTCAAGGACAAACCCCAAGTTCCATCTTACCAGTGGGAAGTTGGGAAGTTGGAACTCATCAAGGATGTGTGGCCAACAGATCTTTGAGTTATTTATTCACTTATTTATTCACATTATAATTCTCAAGAGTTGATTTATTATTCCAAACATGTTTGATGTTTAGTTCACAATAGTAAATGCATATTTACTTATCTGAGAATATGAATGTGACTTACTATACATGAGACTTTTGAACCTAGGAGCTAGACTGTTACACGTTATAGTCAAGTGAAAAATCAGCAGACTAAGAACAATGATTTGTATCACCGCAGACTGTTAACAGATATATTGTATTACATTTGTTGTTTGTTAGCATGTTTTGGCCATTATATCACTAAATTTCATATTCTATATTTAGAATCATATGTGAGACTATAAATTATTATATCTGACTGTTTCCAAAAAAGTCATCAAGTACTCACGCAGTTTCCTATAATAATTTCTGATTATAACAGTAAATTAAAACCCCACATTACCTACAGTACACAGGCAAAGAAGAAGAAAAGTACAATTTATGATTTGTGTTTTGCAAATGACTGCTATCTTCAATAAATTATTATCAATACATAGTTTCTCAATGTTAAAAACTAGAACCCAATGCTGTCTTTGTGATTTATTAATGTTTTGTTAATTTATTATTATAGTAATAAAGAATTTCAAAGGAAACAGTAGACTAAGAGAAGACAGACGAGTGCAGATAAAAAGAGAGAAAATAAAATTAATTTCTAATTCTTGAAAAGCTGCTTATGTGAAATGGCTGCCGAATGGGTTAGGAAGAGGTGTTGAATGTTCATAATTATGCTGAAAGCAATGCTGAAACTAGGAGGATTTAAGAAAGGGAGGGAGACTGTTCTATACTGGAGTATGCAGAACTGAAGGAAGACTTATGTCCACAATTGGTTTTGAAGAGGTGGGATAGGATTGTAAGGTTTTATGATAGACTGGGTATTATGAGATATGTACTCTGAATCTATTGGGAGAAGGTTATTTTGAATGTAGTTATTCAATTGCTTAGCCAGAAGTGTAAAACAGGTATTGAGGGTAAGAGCCTTGGAGAATTTACTGTGCAGTGATGTGTCCAAGGGGAGAGGTTAGCATGAATTGTATATGCTTGCCTGTAAAATCTAACATGAGTTCCAGGGCTTCCTGAAGTATTATATTGGTATGCCATATAAATTAGAATAATGTAAACCAAGAAAAGCAGAAGATCTTATTGCACACACTGTGATCACTATCGTTTCCAACAGACCAAGGCTACCTCACACTCAGAACTCACTGTGACCACTGATTTGTTGCACTACTATTTACCTGTATCCAGTACACACACTGGTCTGCACCTGCTCTGTGTGACGTTGAATCTCTCCCTCTGCACTGCACTTTTTCTGGATGTTCTATAATAATGATGACAATGTTTTTTTGGATTAGGTTGTTTGCTCAGTCTGCAAATGTTTGTGCTGTGATTGTTATGTGCAAGATGAGATACCTGCACAAAGGATTTCGTACAGTAAGCCATAGTAAGGAGGCATTGTGACCTACAATGTGTTGTAGAGTGGACTCTACAAAAGAAATGCTTCACATATTTAAAAAACAAATTCCACAAACAGGCACAACTACTAAAGATGTACTGTATTGCTGGAAGTAACAATCAGACCCCCTTGAACAATGATAATAGTTCAAATTACCCAAAAATGACAATAGTGACATCAGGCTTAATCAATAATGATTACAATGATGCTGCTACACACAAAGAAATATAAGTGCACTTTTTTGCAAAACATGCGACATTTTTCATTTTCAAAAATCAAATTTGCTTTGTAAGTAGTGATTAGTATTTCTTTTTTAAGCATTATGTTTGTTTTTTTGCTTCCCTTTCAGCACCTGTTCTGAGTAAACGCGGTGTTAGGCAGAGTAATGCAAGCAGCGCACAACCCCATTGCATGCCCTGTGCTGCGCTGTTCATGAGCAAGAGCTCTCTCCTTACCGTCCCGTAATGAGGAAGAAGAGGGTGAGGATGACGAGGAGGGTGAATCCGCCCACCGCAGCTGTGGTGATGACCAGCACTTGGCCTTGATCTGTGGCCATATCAGAAGCTGGGGGAGAAGGAGCACACAGAGGTGAAAACGAAATTAAATGCATTGTTGGATACTGCATTTGCTTTCCTCCAATCTAGATTAGCATAGTAATAAAATAAATTGACAATGTTTTTGATTGCAATAATATTTTACTGCTGTTCCTATAACTAATACTAAAGCCACTGCCATTAAGGTCAGCTATAACTACGTGACAAGTACTATATAGGGCTTTCAGCTTTGGAGAGTGGGATACCATATAGGAAGAAACAGCAAACATCATTTACTGCATAATTTGTCACTTTTAAGAAAAGACAGTTGGACACACCATGAAGTGAAGAGAGAGATAAATTTAAATTATACCACACCACACAATTACAAGTGCCATCCCAAGTTTCTAATGCTGATTTTATATCAGTGTCAAACTAATAAGGGATATGTGATCTGACTGTTGAGCAATCTCTGTACAGTAAAAACTGCAGCTGTCTCACTACTTCAGTGCAGACTATAGTGAAGCAAATTCATTGAGTCCTGTGATTGCTTTTTTGGTTGAGCTCTGTGTATTGGCCTGAGATATTTTATCTAAAGTCAATGAACATAGCATTTCATCGAAGTTAATGGTAGACATGGTTTAGCATACTGAAGACTGATGTACCTGAAACATGCTATCTAGTTTTTAATAATACCTTTATTCTTGTATTTATTCTTTATTCTTGTATGAAAAAGCTCATTTGTCCCTGATTATGGTGTTGAACGTGGTGTAATGTGTTTAATGTGTTAAATTGTCTAGTTGATTTTTTCAAATCATGCTGTTTCAGACACTGTTTGGTAACCCTTCTTCTTTTCAGTGATGGAGTTTAACTTGAAAGTGAAAACACAGGCATGAAAATGTAAATTAAATTACCAACGTCTTCATTAGCTTTCATGAATTCTGCATAGCAACCAGCTTTTACAAACTTGCCCTTTGCAGATGAAGAAAAATAATTAATGCCTGTGCTTTGATTCAACAAAACAGCCCACTCAATATTAGAATACTTAGTAAAAAATCTTTAACCCCCTTATAGTTTTTAGGTTTTCTAATGTTTTAATTAGGAGATTTCAAGCAGCTCTCCCTAACTTACAGTGCCAGAAATGGAAATCTTTTTTATGACTGTGATCTGAAAACTGTAATGGCAGAATTCTTACTCTCGTCTCCTGTTTCGTACTCAAACTTGGGGCTGTAGCTGCTGTAACCTGCGGCGGTCCTGGCCCGAATGTGGAAGACGTATTTAGTGGAGGGCTTCAGCCCAGTTATGATGACACTGGGGGCCTTGGACCGGGTCGAGGAGTAGCTGAGCTGTTCATGTTCCTGTGGGACGACACATGAAGGGAGAAAATAAGACCATGTTTCCGGTTATCCCCTGACAGAATAATTGACATACACCATTCAATTCAAGTTCAATCATAGACTCAAAACTGCAACAACCATATGTTGAAATGCATGAAAGATGATTTATTCCACTCTGGATCCACAGTGGTTGTACAGTACCTTTTCATAGTACTTGATCTCGTAGTCCAGAATGGCTGTGTTGGGGTTTTCTGGTTCCTGCCAGGAGAGGGCGATGCTGTTCTGAGAAGCCCAGTCTTTCCTGACTGCTCCTACCAGAGAGGGGCCTGTGGAAGGGAAAACATGCATCATTCAGAGGTCAGCAATCTCCCTGCATTTCCCTCCTCGGCCTCTTTCCTCTTCCTGCTGATCAACACGGATTAACAGCAGCGGGGCGAGTGGCACAGCACACCTGTGGCAAGGTGTTGTTGACAAAGGAAGTTCGTTGCCAAGGCAAACGAGTAGGTGACATTCTAACAAGAACACGACTCCCATCATCCACTTCAAAAACATGTGTTGTCAGGAAAGGCCTGGCACAAGCTGCTGGTCATACAAGTCTGTCCATTATAAATTGCGAAAACTCTAATACAACTCAATTTGTAATTTTAAGGTATCAGGTAATTTAAGGTGTAAGATATCAACCACAGATTTTAAAATGCTTTACAGTTTGGTTGAGGAAAGGCAAAGATGAAATTTAAGGGCTTATTCAATGTTTACACGTTTTCAATAAAATTAAGTTGTTTTGAAAAACACCTCTAGTCTTCACTGACGATAAAAGATTAAACCTTAAAAGGCATTAAGACACCATTACTGGCTTCAAAGCAGAACTCAATTGACTTAACTTCCATGTCACATGGAAAATAACTATCAATGATAAGTTGTTTTTATTAAGATACTCAAGCCACTACTGCTCAGGTACTGGCAAGGGAAGATGCATGATAAACATTATCAAAGATTTTGTTATATCACAACCCAATATTGAGCAGTGTATTATTTATAATATTGTAACAACTAAAATTATAATGGTTAAAACTACAAGTGATTCTACTGTTTGTAGTGACTCTACTAGATGTAATTATTACTAAATCTAATAATACAATTAATTCAACTGAAATTACTATACATACAGTACAACTGATATCAAAATTAAAAAATGAATAAATAATTTATTTTCAGTTTCCCTTCTTATCAACAGGACTCCTTTCTGTTACAATTTTTACAAAGACGGAACTTTTTAACATTGTGAAGGTGAAAAAGACAATGACATTTATTTCCTTGCAATACATATTTTGAAACCAGCCATTACCTCAATGTTATTTCACATATGAACCATGTGCAAACAATTAACTGGAAATATTCAATTTGTTTAAAACTTATTAGCAGTGCTGATTGTGATTCTGTTAGATAAATCTGAGCATAGGGCAAACATATTGAACCAGCCACAAAGCAATAACTGCCTCTTTGTGAATAATTAATAGAACATTAGCCAAATAATTGGTGTTACGGAAGGTCTAATTTAAAAGCTTTTACAAGATCAAGATGTTAGGAAGCATGAAAATTCCAGAATGTTATCAACATTATAGTTTGCTGATGGAAGAAGAATCATTTCAGAACTACGCAAAGGAAATGTTTCTATCTTTTTTTCTCCTAACTTTTCACTCTTCCTTTTGCTACTGATAACCATGCAGCTGGTTAGAGCAGATATCTACTACCCTGGTTCTGGAGAGCACAGTCCTGCTGGTCTTACAGGTCAACCGAAATCATCTGTTATGTAATGTTTACAACCACTTGTTTAAATCATTAGTTAAGAAAGTCATGTTTCAATGAAGGGAGCACTGGTTGTTGAGACCCGAGTGATAATCTGATTTTTGTTCCTAATGATCTCTAAATTACTTAATTGAACACATCACCTGTTTAATTGATCAGAGTTTAATTGTTCCATGTGTCTAGAAACTGATAATTTAAAGCCCAGCTACAAAGCCTGCTGGGCTGGGACTGTCCAGGGCCAGGTTTTTTTTCTTACATTTCTTTTTGTGCACAGGCTTGTCCTGTTTTCTCAGGGCCAAAGTGACTCTGTGCTTTAAGACCATTTCATTTCCTCAGGGCTTTGTATGTCGATTTGAAGATAATTTTTAGTCATAGATCCTTTGCACTGGATTGTAGCATGTACTGTGTTCTGCTGCAGCAACGGATGAAAAAAGTTAATTAGTTGTAATATGAGTTGGATAGAGAGGCAAATCCATTTCAATGATCTAGAAGGATTGTACTGTATATGTACTGTATCTTACAGTTCTTATATGCATCTTACAATTCAACTTGGCAGAACAGACATACAGTATGGCACATGACTCAATGTAGAACACATGGGGAAATAACGTAATTTGTTTATCTTTTATTAAAACTGCAGCTGAATCAGTATAAATATTTTTTTTATGAAACAATATATTGTTGTTGGAATATTGTCAAAATATATCATGTTTGTTGTGTTCTGAACTGCTATTGATTTGAAGTAAGAATAAACTTTAAACATTTCTAATGCTATTCAGCAAACATGTTTGTCTGGAGAGTTTTTACTAAGTCAACTCAAGGTCCGGTTTCTTGTATAGACTTGGACAGAGGCAATATTCTTTAAATTTCAGACATAAGACATTGTCCCTGCTGTTACTCTGCTGATAACACATAGAACACACAGTGAGAACAGCCAGCTCTTTCCCCAACAGCTAAGATGGGCTTTATCTTTGGAAACTGTGGGCATACCATGAAGACAATTGAAAATAATAGGCAGGAATTTCCCTGTGGGCTAGAGTGACCTACAGCTTTGTTGCTGCCATTTTGCAATGAGTTATATGTTTAAAGGGCATCAGGGCAGCTTCACTTTACCTCAGTCAGTGGGAATGAACAAAAAACTAAATAATAAACCCTAGAAAAAGCATCACCTGAAATATGAACTGGCTCTAAAAGTCCCAGCTACTTTCAAACCACAGTACATTGCCTGTGTGCTTCCTTTCTCTTTATCTTCAAGAAAATGTCCCTTTTCATATGTTAGCGATGGTAGCTCAATCATTAAAAATTGAACACACCACCTGTTTTAATTGATCAAAGTTAATTGGTTCAAGGCCTTCAAAAACAGATGATTTAAAGTCCACCTATAATTCCTGCTGGATTGGGACTATCCAGGATTAGGGTGGGAGACTCCTCTGAAAAGGGACCAAAACCAAACCTTGCTACCTAAACCTTGCTAGGAATCATATCAGATTTTTTTCTTACATTTCCGTTTGTGAAAGTAAAAAGCCCTGACAGACAGCAAAAAAGTCTCAGTATTATTTAAATACGTTTTTAAGTAAAATTGTTTTTGTGCAGCATCATTTTAGACATTTCTGATTCTTTTTTCAAAAATGAAAAAAGATGAGTGCATATTTATGCAGGCACTTCACCAAATTACTCATAAAGGAGAATGCATTGTGGCAAAAGAGGTAAAGTGCTATTTATTGCAGCCACTCAAGCTCCCTTTATATGTATGAAATCCCTGAAGCTCTATTTCTTTATCAATGTATCATATGCTACTCAGATTGAAAATTTAAAGATATAATAATAAAATTAATTTGACTGCAGTTTATTTCATAAAAGGACCAAGGCCTTAAGGAAAGAGTATTCACTGATTCTTAAAGAAACTCCTCCAGCAGTCACTCGAGAGAGGGGTAATGCTCATTGACAAACAATAACCAAATCAAACCAAGTAAGTACAGAATAACGCACATTTCTTCTATTACATACAAATTATGAAAAAAAAATGTGCAATGGTTAATATTGCAGTGCTGGGGCCCTGGTGTCAATTCTGGACCTGGGGTGCTATCTGTGTGGAATTTGGTCTCCCCATGTTCATGCGAGTTCCTCCAAGTAATCCAGTTTCCTCCCACATTCCAAAGACATACTGGTAAGTTTAATTGGTTAATTGGCTTTTTGGAAAACTGTCCAAAACTTTCCCTGGTATGAATGTGTCTGCATTCGTATCTGTGTCTGCCCTGTGTCCACACCGAAAGATACACAGTGTTTAATGTGTTTTGCATTCTTTAAACATGACTGATGTCTGAAAGATGGTTTATTTTCAGCATCAAAACAGATATAGTGGCTTGAGTCTTAGATTCATATTTCTTTCCAGAGCAAAGTATAATTGCAATGGTCCCAGAAGTACTCACTCTGGCAGAAGAAACTGGAAATTTGAAAGCAAGTTAAAAATTAGCCTTGGATCCCAATTACAAAACATGCTGGGTACATTTTGCAAATGCCCTTTGATAAATTAACATGCTTAGTGAATAAAGGAAACTCATTAAATGCACATGACCTATGCAAGAGTTTTAATTAGCCTTCTCCTCCTTAAGGATTTCATTAGCTGCTAAAAAAATCAGTTCAGTATATGTTGATGCTAATGATGCCTAAATAATTTGTTAATACAAATCACTTTTATCTGCTTTTTTGCCCACATGTTAGCACATTACATAAAATAGAGACTGTCCACACTATAAATAGATTTTTTACATCGATAAAATTTCAGGGAATTCCAATTCACTGACTGGAAAACATCATGCATTTGTTTGTATCCGTGTTAAGCACCGTGATATCAGCTTTGTGCTTTTGAGCAGGGCCAAAATAACAGCATTCGAACTGCAGAGAATAATAGTCATAGCTATCAGATGGAGCACGTAAGGTTCAGTAAATGGCCTGTAGAGGCTGGACTGAAGCCATACCCCTAAGGAACATACAGCACATTAGCTCTTCTTGCACTGCTAAGCTTGGCTGATACTGGGCAGGAATCACAGCAAACACTCGAATTGTCAGACCAGAGTGATCACACTGTATTCCTTTCTCATGCATGTAATATACAACCGAAGGCAGGTCCCTACAGATGGCATTCATAACAAATAATTGTAGATGGTTTGATTCACACCATTTTTTTAGTGTTTCTCAAAGGGAGTTATCAGTCTCTGATTTCATTGACAGTTTGAGCACAGCAAAAAAAAAAAAATGTTCGACTTTTTAAATGAATTAATTTTACTTTAAAATTAGGTGATAGAACTAATCCTTTTTCTCTCTCATCTCTTTTCAAGCCAGAGCAGGTTCAGGGTTTTGGGCTCAAAGTTTGTCAGCTGCTGGTGTCATCGTTACACGTCTTAAACAAGGTTCAGCAATGACCTTGTCCCTAATTAGTGCCTCTGAGGTCTTTCTCGCAGTTTAAAGGGGATTACCTTTCTTATTACCAGACTCTAATTACACATTGTGAGCAGATATG